TCGTAAGTAAACTGTGTATGATTTGTGTGTTCAGTAGGAGTATATTTCTGGTCTTCGGTCACGCTTGACTGGTCCGACTTTGCTGTGCTGATCTGATATCTGGGACTAAACGCACTGCGTCCCTCCGAAGCATAATCATCTCCAGATTCAACTAGAGAGGCTATCCCACTAGCCGAGGTGGAAGACATCATGTTCGATACGTCTTTTGTGTCGTAAGTAAACTGTGTAAAATTTGTGTGTTCAGTAGGAGTATATCCTCCATTTTCGGTGAACTGGGTAGATTCTGCTGTACTTAACTGGTTCAGCCGTATTCTTGGACTGAATTCGCTCTCACTATAGTCAGTATTCAATGCACTGTAATCTGTAGTCATTGTTCCTCTCATAGAACACGAGTAACCACTATCGCTAGCACCAGGACTGAGAATACAGTCCGTCCTCTGACTGTATGAACGAGGACTAAATCGACTGGATTCCCACATCGACGATTGATTGTCGGGACTCAATGTCTCATTCGCAAAAGTAGATGCATCACCCCATCGAGCGGTAGTTTCTTCGTTGCTAGTTGCTAACGTGTAGACCCCAGAAGTTTTCGTGAATTGACTAATCCCTGTAAATCCTGTTTCTCTTGATTCAAATGTCGAGGCTGCAAATTTCTGTGAGTTTTGTGAAGTTGAGCCAGCCCTAGTCACCCCCTCTGTGACTTCAAAGTCCGATTGAGTTTCGAAAGTTGCACGAAACTGTGCAGAGTTTTCACCAACATTTGCTTCGATAAATATTGATGATTGCGTGGCTGAATTTGTAGGTGACCATGCGTAGCTACTATTCCCCATTCTATCTCTATCTTTCAAGGCTTGACCAATGTTATCTACGGCTTTTCTCGATTCTGAAGGTGCAACGTCGCATGTTGCGGTCGAAGCGTCTCCTTCTGCAGTACGAATATTGGATGTGTTCCGCCTGTGAAACGCTTCCATATCGTCCAATGTCCTAGTTGAACGTGTTCTAGGTCTCACGCCTTTCTGATCATCATATCCAAGACGGGAATCATTGACAACAGATCCTGCATTCCCATCTTCGACTGAGTTTGTTGCACTAGCAGAGACACTAGCTCCTCCTATGGTTGACTCTCCATGGACACCAATGATATCATCCAAATCATCCAATTTGYCATGAATCTGTATTCCTGCAGTATCGTCGACCCCGCTGGGTATCGAACTAAGATTAGAAGGTATTGCCTTTCCCTTCGGCCCCAAAATATCGTCTAAATTACTGTGGGTAGAATACGACTTGTCGGGCAGAGGGCATTTTGGTGATTTATCTGTGGAGTGCCGAGGTAATAGAAACTTGCCATTAGGTTTGCAATTGTTTTCGTTGTTATTCGATCCATATGGGCCTAATAATGTCGGTACCTGATGCGCGTAGGAACCCTGGGATCCATGACTGGTGCTCGACGAATCGATTTTCAACCATGATGTCTTGTTGCCTTCAATTTTGGGAGTGATTTTAAAATCGCTTACATCCGATTCTAGTTCTGAAGCTTGGAGAGAATCCAGATTGATCAGAGACGTAGAGTCATCGTCTAAACGATGAACAATGTYGGAGGGAGGGCCTGCTGTGCCATTGGATACTTTACTTGCATCTTGACTACTACCACTTTGGACAGAAGTGGGATCAGACGTTGATGGGCCCATATTAGTAAACGTAGAACTAGATTCTTCTTTACCTTCCATTCCCATCTGATCTCTTMCCCCTAATTGATTCCTTGAATTGCTGCCAAGAACCTTATTACCGCCGGTGGCGCCGATAGATTCGATAGAGAACATGTTGCCTCTACTACCTCCGACGTTTTCCTGTTCTTCCTGAGGGCCCTCACTCTTTTGAGGAGACGCGATCGAAAACGACATGACGACCTCACACAACAACAAAAAATGAATTCCGCAGTGTTCCTTTCTTTTTGTGGTACGTTCGAGTAGTCTCTCTTTCAGTCTTTCAGGGAGAGGAGCGTCGTCGTGAATTGTAATGTTGTACGTGTAGGCACAAAATGGGAAAAATATTTTTTCTGCTTCAGAAAACAGGTTTTTCTATTGACAGCAAACAGTTTTTCTTAAGTAACTAGGTAATACTCATACCCGCATGAGTTCTGTCTTCGTTCCCAAATTACAACCGGTGTCGATGAATATAATATGGATTTTATACATTCACGAATGTTTTTAATTAWCTCATCCGTTATTAGTGTCCTAAATAAGAAATAGTGTCATTCTTTTAGAATGTGACGGGTACGGGTAATTACAGTTAAACAGTTTACTGGCAACAACCGTACTTCAATTAGTTCCGTATGATTGAGAGTTCTACTTGTATTGTAGTACTCGTAACCGTTTACGACAACACGAAAAGAAACAGGCTTGAATATGAAATGTTGATAGGAATTGAGATCCTGAGATACGAACCCATAACCCTACCGTACGGTACCGAGTGCCATACGGAATGCGGAACCAATCGCGCTACCACAATACTTATCATGGTATTGATCAAAGGTACCGCACGCACGGACTTCGAAGGCCGAAGTTGTATTGAAGATTACGATAAGAACTGCTTCGGCTGAAACACAGTCTCAGGGTGCTCGTTCCCGAACCGGTAACAGTGAGTCCAACTCCATGCCGACGTCGTCTCTCAAATTACTGTTGAGACGAACCTCTTTTCAAAAATCGATGAAAAGCCAAAATAAAAATAAGCAATGATCCCCATCCATTCATTTTTGGCAAAATATAGTGTATCAATAGCAGTTGTGGCAGCAGCGATACATCTATGCTTCGCAATCGATGGAGACGCCCATGAAAATAGGAATGATGTGCCCATGAATGTAGCACGCCAATTCGAACCTCTATCATCAGCCTTTTTGAACATGACGCTGTTTGCTGGAAAATGCACAGGTGAGGATCGCAAAATGTATTTCACTCCGGCGAACAGATGTTACAGTTCGAGACTATTATTTCCAAACGACCCGAGTTGGAGTGGGAAGGATGTTCACGACAAAATTTTCCATCAAACCCAGATGCTGTTGAGAACAATTTTCGACACGGAGGATGGGAGCTGCAGTGGTGATGGAGATGAATATCAAATTCCATTGAACGAGTGCGTCGGTCCGTTTGGTAAGCCGCGGCCTTGGGGGACATTTAGTTTGGTCCAGCGGCAGCGGAAGCAGCAGAAGAAATACTAGTAAATGATTCAGAGACCCACTGCGAAAAAAGTTGCAATCATAATCAGGTTTCTCAACCGGAAGCTTCTTGACGCCTTGGATTAATTCTCTTTGTTGTATCATTATTTTCTCTTATTATTATCATTAATATTATTACTACCACTATTACTAGTAGTAGTAGTACTAGTCATTATTATTATTCTTACCGAAGTGAACCTAGTAAAAAAGGGTCACAAAACCATTATGGTTTCTTGTTTTTCTTGACTCTCTCCATGGCCTGATGCCAGACAATTTGTCAGCACCACAACATGTCTTTTTCATGATGATCGTCAAGCCTGGCATCATGGACATCGTCAATGCTGATGGTGTTGTGTTGGAAATACTACTAGTACTAGTAGTACTACTACTATAGAACTATTTATACTACTAGTACTGCTACTAATACAAGTAGTACTACCAGCATTGCTGAATAGTTTTGGCTAACAAGAAGCAGGAGATTTAGTATCACTGAGAGACAAAATAGTCATAGTTGTAGAATTACCAGCTTTCAGTGAATTGAGCAGACTTCTAGAAGTAGTATTATATCACTTGGCAAGTTGATTGAGCCGTTTTGAGCTTAAGATTTGGATTCCTTCAACGGTGTTCTTTTTGAAAATCAGCAAAAAATTAAATATCGGTATGGTACGGTACATTTACCGGTACAGTTACTTGCAACTTTTACCGTGAGATCCGAGGTACCGTACGGTACAGTACGGTAAAGTACCGTTGCGAGAAAACGAAAAACCGRAAGATATCTATTTTTGGGTCACGACACATTACACTTCGTGCAGCCCACTTTGAGATTCAATTCATTTGTTCTTAGAACCTACGATACGGTATCACCATTCTTGTTGCCGACCATGACTCGTGTTTTACTTCTTGTTGTTGTTGCCTCGACTGCTTCCCTGGCAACGGCGGCCGACTTCCTGGGAACTGCCCGGTGCGGTGATTGCTGGTGCATCACAGATGACGGCACTACGTGCCCTTCCGATACCGTCGGGATTTCCGATAGCTTCTCGGATACCGACTTGCTCTTCGGCACTTTTGAACTCACCAATAGTCCCAACTTTCTCAAACTCCAAAGCGCTACCGGTGGTGATTGCTTCCCGTTCAAGGATAGCGTTGGCGCGATCGATAGATACGAGGAATCAAACCTAGACCAGTGTATCGCTTCGGACGAGGACGACGACGTGGTATGTGGATACGTCTACGACGCCTCTTCTACGACTTGCGAGGGAAGGAAATACTCGATTCAAAACTTTGCCAGCTCGAACGATGCTATGGCATCCAACGCTCATATTGTGCACAAGGGATGTAAGTTGCTGGTTTAATGCTTGGATAATGATTCACTTCAGAATCAAACAAAACAACCATTAGCGCCCTGATCTCGTGGTTTATTCTTTCTAACCCTAACCGCCCAACTTATTGATTTGAATATAGCTTGTGGTGTTTGCAGTTCCGCGCAGGATTTTTCAACACGAATGAAGACGTATGGCACTCTCGAAGCGGAATCAATCAAATGCGCCTTCTCGTTCACCTTTTCGAGAGATTTCCCCGCATTGGTCACTTGCTATGCAGCGTTGGGTTTCACTACCCCGTGTGCAACTCTATGGGCTCATTTTGCGGCTACTAATGGGAGTAAATGTGCCGCTGAATGCATTCCTGGAAAGGGAGGTATCACAGAGGTACGAACACGATCGACACGAAACATCGTTCCGACTTTTGTACAATGATATGTTTGCACCATCCTTGTCTTTGTGACACCTTCATATCTTCGACGCTACAGTGATTTTACATTATCTAACTCAAAATGCTGTGCATGTTCGATTGTATCATACTATATCACGCCTCGCTGCCCTCCTGGTTCTTTTTCTTAGTTGAATGGGCCAGCACCTGAATGCGCACCAAGTGCCTGTATGGAGTGCCAGGATGAGTTCAGAGATGATTTTGACGATTTTGCAGGTTTGGAAATGCAAAATGCAGGAATTACCGAACGCATTACTCGTGACTGTGACGATTTCTATCGCGTCATCCACGATCCATGCATCGGGCTCGATCCCGATTACGATGTTGGCGGTGCCGTCGACAATTCAGGCGATGATACTGGCGGAACCACCCCTGCCTCTACTCCCGAAGAAACCACTGCAACACAGACCGAAGAGCCCGAACCATCCTCTGGAACTACTATCAACGGCAAGACCACATATGCGATGGCTGCATGGTTGGCTTTCTCTTTTGCCGCAGTTTGAATGAACCTGGACGCACATTCATTTCAATCCCTTGTCGTTCCACGGTCCGTTCGTTTTTTGTTTGTCCATGGCTACAGTAAGTGTACACTGCTTCCGTAGAATATTCTAGTTCGTAATAAAAAATTGCTTTCATTTAGAAGAGAGGTCTGCGTATTTGCGTCACACTATTGGTTTGCTCTCGCGGGACAGAGCTGCTGCGTCAATTATCACTACAGCAGGCTGTCTCTTATCATTAGAAACATACCGTGGGATAGCTGTATAGATAAATTTGCTCCCCAGGGGTTCCGATAAATGGTGTGACCACAGCACGCATTTCTACACCACGAGCGGTGTCAAAATTTGGTTTTGTTTACTAGTAGTGTTTAGAAGTCCCTCTCTCTCGCTCATCGCTTTTTTGACGCCAATGGGGCCCTTCCGGTCTCGCAAAACTCCCTCACCGCATTCGAGTCGGAGACCGAAGAGGAACAAAGCGGAATATTGTTCAAAATGCCTTCCCAGTCCCGGCCACCGTCGGTGTCATCGCCACCACCCGCCTCGTCCAACTTGCTCAATCGGATCAATTCGTTCCGGAGCTGGAGCTTGATCCGTCTCGGGTTCTTGGCTTTTGTGTGATCGCCCTTGTGGCAGGCAATCARCACAGCGGGGTCGTTGTTGCCGTTGGCATGGCTGCTGCCACTGCCTCGTTGTATCGTCGATGTCAGTATCGCGTAAAGGTAGTCCGCCGCGGGGGCGACGGGCTGTGTCGAATCCACGACRACCACGAGCCGCTGTACTTCCCGCAGTGGAACCACCTCCACGAGTTTTTGGGGTCCCCAGTGGCCGGGGGTGTCCAGCAGCCGCAGGACGGAACCGTTGGGTTCCAGGAATCCGGTGTTGCTCTTGATGCTCCGAACGGTTGCGATGGTCCAACTATTGCTGCTATTGCTGCCTCTTGGTTGCGTCAGCTCGTAAAACAGGCACGTCTTTCCTCCCAGCGACGGGCCGCACAGCAGGACTGTTCCATCGAAGGGACGGCTCGTCTCCGCACCGGAGGGAAGAATGTCCTTGTCGCGATCGTCTTCCTGGATGGCACTGTTTTTCCTACCGAGGGAGGCCGAGGACCCCGACGAAAAATCCATGGCGATCCGCAGCAGCTGGTAGAAAATCCAGGCCACCAAGAGACTCCCGAACACCGTCACGGAGGCCTCCGGTCCCACCAGCGGTTCCAGGATAGGGTCGATCGCTCTYACCGCCTTGACGACGGGAGGTGGCAGATACGGTGTTAGGCTCTCCCGCACTGCCGTCTGAAACAGGCGTGCATCTTCGTTGGGTTGTTCTTCCGATCCTGTCATTGTATTGGTTTGCGCTCCACGCAAATACTGTGACGAGACAAATGGTCTTCTCGATGTCTCGGATAGATGTTGATTCGGTTCGTCCCAGAGGAGCCCGACAAAACGGTGGGTGAAAGAAATGTGGTGTGAACTGGTGTGTGCAGTCCTCCTACTCGTACGCGTCAACTAGTACGTACGTAGTGTACGTACTTTATGGATATTGTAACGTGGTACAGTATTGTATTTTGTACTCCCAACTCCTACACGGAGTAGTAGTAGTGACTACGTAAGTATTACCGTACGGTACGTACGTACGGGACAGCATACCGGTACCGTAGGACAGCACGAACGGCACGAATTATTTTGAATTTTGAATTTTGCGCATTGGGATTTTGCATTTTCAACTTGGGCAAGGGAGAGGAAATTCCCAGTGAAGGGACTACACTAGACCTGTTATGAGTCATGGGGGAAGGAGAATTCCCAATTTACGCGGGATGCAACCATATTGGTTCAAGACATACAAAATCGCCTCGTTCTAATAATACTGAATAATATCAGATGACAACTCTCTAGTACTAAATGGAAAATCCTGATCCAAAGATTATTCCTAACTAGATGGTACGTCTTATTGTTGTGATGCTGAAGAAAACAGGGATCGAATATTTTCTGCTTTTCGCAGAAGACTTGATGTGTGTTATCGCCATTGTCAGTGCAGATAAATGCGCTAATGAACTACTAGTAATTCTTTTTAATTATATAAATTGCGCATGCTTCTCATATTATGAAGACGATCACTCACCTGCAGAATTTCATAAAGTAATATGATGCAGTAACCAACGGCTTGTTGCGCGCAAAAATAGCGGTATATTATATTATCATAAAATTACAGTTACATAATTCATAAACTTCTGTGCATGGCGTGACTCCCCTCACCTATGCGGCAGGTAGTATGGAACGCTAATTGTGCACCAATGGATTTTGTTTGAGACTCGAAGAAAAATTTCGTTACTTATCAAAAAGTAGATCCTCCAATTTAGAAGGCGTCCTTTGTCCCATGTTTGGTCTTTGGAACTCGACCTTTTCCCAGTTGCCGCCCCTTGGTTTTGTTTTCTTCTTAGAAACCTTGAAGGATATTTCATTGGCGGGCTTAAACTTGTTCTTGTCTCCAGGCTTGTGCTTTTTGGGGTGGACGCGTGGTTTGTTCGACTGTGCATCAGAAGATGCAATCATCTTTTCAACGTTTTTGGATTTCGGGTCTGTATTATATTGGTTATCCCTCCTCACAACCCTCTTTTTTACCTTGCGCGAAACATCGGAAATCGAAGAATCAGACAGCGAGGAATCGTCATCGGAATCGCTCACTGTCGTTGCAGAATACTTCTTCTTTTCCACTTCTTTCGCCGCACTTCCAATGTTTGGCGTTTGTCGATTTGTATTTCCCCTCAATGTTTTCGACTCTCCCTCCACAGCGATCTTCCCCTTGGTTGCACTTGTATCTCGTCTTCCCTTTCTTTCATATTTTTTCTTGTTTATCCCGATTTCATTGTGTCTGTCCACAGGCAAACTCCTGGAGCTGTTGTGTTTCTTCGTATGGCTTGATTGATCATTCTGGTTGTCAAGCGACAGCGGCAAACTTTTATGACTTGGTCTCTTTGGAGCGGATTCCTCGTCGCTGCTGTAATCTTCTAAGTCGCGATTGTCGTAAAACGTAGGATCATTGCTACTGACTGGTCGTTTTTGGGACTTGCCGCGGCTTTTGGAGCGACCTCTTGGCGTCGTCTGACTCTTCAAGTGATTTGATCTCGACTTCTCGCCTTCATCAATAGCGGTCTGCCCCGACATCGAGTGAGAATCCGAGGCTTTTCCCAACTGCAAGGGGTTTTTAATGCTCCCGAGCAGCGTCTTCACATGGTCGATTGTCCCCGACAATTCGATCTTCTCCTCTATTTCCGGCTTTGCACTACCATCGATACGAACTCGCTGTTCGACAGGTGCATAGAAACAATCTTTGTAGATTCGATACAAAATCCAAAGAACTGAAAACAGAATCAAAAGGACGCAGACTACCAACCATGGAGAAGTCTTTCCGCCATCGATTTGCAAAATTCTACTTCTGACTTCACCAAGAGTAAAACCTCTATTTGTCCGTCGATGAATTCGAGGTTTCACTTGAATATCAATGGCGTCTCCAAAAAAACTCCGATGGTCTGGTTGAGTACTGAATTCATTGCTGTAACTGTCAAGGTGTTCTCCGATTCCTTTCAGAATCGAATTACTACTTTCTTGGACAGATCCTTCTCCAACAATCTCAGCTATGATTTCAATCTTTCTGTTATTCGAAGCAGTGGTTTCCATATCTCGCTTTCGCAGGAACCCTGATCTTGCCATCGTGCTATCATCGAAAAGCGATCGGCCCGATACTTGCTCATTGCGATTTTGACTCAGTGGAAATGCTTCGGGAATCTCGTTGATGACAATTACGGAATAGATCTTTGATGTCGACGATTTTCTCAAGAAATACTTTGTGACGTCCTCGAAATAACGTCTCTGCACGTCGTTCATTCGGGCACCACTGGGAACGCCGGTAAAAGTAATTGAATATTCGATACTAGAAAGTGATCTTCCCAAGTATTTTGCTTCCAAGGGACCCGTATCCGAAGCCAGTATGGCGTCGAAGTCTTTCTTGCTTTCGTTCAGTACTTCCATTTCAAGGGATCCCGAGTCCAGGGCCCGCGAATGATGGAACCAAACGATTGTCGATACCAGAGCACAGTTTTCGTACGCGGCAGGACATTTTTCGTCGTTCTCTTCAGTGGAGGTCGTTCCGATTTCACCGATTTCCAGAACGAATTCTTCTGAATATCGCTCGAGAGTTTCGTTTTTCAAAATCAGTTCGCCAAGGACTTTGCTCGTTGTATGTGTTAGACTGTTCAACACGCTTTCTGATGGTTCTGCGTTCAGAGCAAATTCAAGGAAAATTGGGGTTAAGGCAGATGTTCGGCTATCGTCGCGGGGTTGGATTGCACGACGATTCAATGCTCCATCGGTATCGGCATGCTCTGATGACGACGCCAAGAAATCGATATTCATCGCAGCGCCTTGAAGTTTGATATTGCGTTGTTCCTTTCAATCAAAATTTGATTTCTGTCCAAGTTTTCTCTTCCGTAAGGTTGTGTTCCTCTTTGTCCTGACTTCTTGCTTTGCTTTTTTATGTGATATTACTATGGATTGGTACAGCAGCAAAAAGTGATGCATCTGTAGGCGAGGTCTGTTAACCTTGTACGTTTTCAGTTCACAGAAGCGAGAGGCACGTGAGAAAAAAGTCGTTGACTTCGTAATCGGTAGTACAAGGAACCAGCATTATGACCCCTGGTACGAGTACCCAGTAGTACCGTTTGGTGAAGAACAGCAGAACTACAACTGCTGTTCATTTTCATTACGTACTATTCGTACTTTTGAGTAGGTGTAAATTTTTTTGTCAATCGCCATAAGTAGTCGACGAAGCTTCAAACGTGCAGATATTAAACGTCAACAATTATTTGTAAAACTCTAATAATTGTTTCAATATGGTTTTCAGCGAGATTTAATTACCAGCCTTCTAAGTAAATAATTTCCATTAATCTTATTGAAAGGTTCTTCCGAAATATACTTAAGTCAATATAGAATTTTGGGCTTTTATCATTATCATCATCCTCTGATGGTATGGTAATGTATTCCGTATGAAATTATGCGATTTGTTCAACCCGGGACATAGTAAACTCTTACCGKTATCGTAATGTAATAGAAAACTACGAAGTAGTACGAATATGCAATCAGTTGATCCCGAACTATTCCAGAGGTTCCTAACATAAATTTCATCAAAGTCTACAG